AGGAATTATTTAGCCGTTAATTAGCGGCTAAGTTTGACCTTCTCTCTAACCTATCGTGGAATTATTTAGCCGTTAAATAATGGCTAAGTTTAACCTTCTCCTTATATATAGGAAATGTTTAGCCGTTAATTGATGGCTAAGTTTAACCTTACTTTCATTTATACAGGAAATGTTTAGCCGTTAATTAATGGCTAAATAATTTCTATAAGAAGGAAAATATTAAGCCGTTAATTAATGGCTAAATTCTCGGTTTGTAGAATATACAAAGTGACTTTATGGCTAAATTTTTCTTATAACTACAGTGTGAATTTATTGCAAATTTTGCATTTATATAGACACCCGTACTCGGCAGTTCGCGCTTTGCTCTGGGACGGGCGTTGGGGCTGAAGTCACGCAATATGGGGGTGGGGGAGCATTGCGTCAGACTCCTGTTCGCGTCCGTTTGCTCATATTTTCCTCGTTTGCCGTGTTCGCACACAGCTGACTCAAAGACACTTGAGAATCATTTGAAACTGGTGAGTTGTTTTGTAATATTACACTTTGTTTAATATCTTTCAGTTCTCTTGGTAATTAATCTGAGGCCTGATACAAACAGAGTGACTGATCATGTTGAATACCAGCTTGCTGTGTCGCCCCGCGCGGCCGGATGGATTTATTCACTTTGACTACTTCTGTTGGGCTTTTCTTGTGTCCTGAGTACATCGATGTTGTACATGTGATTATTACAAGAACTCTTTTTACCCTACAATTGCACAGTGGAACAATCTCCCACCAGAAATTATAGCATCTACTTCGCCATGTTCATTTGGGCAATCCCTGTGTAATCTGACTTTATACATATTGATTAGCAATTTTATGTTATGGTTTTTTCATTACTGTAATCTTTTAAAGCAGTCTGTTAAGAGTGAAGACTAGACTACGAGTAGTCTTCATTTTTTCCTCAAGGATCTGTGTCCCGCTTTTTTCGCGTGAGGTGATTTTCACGCGCGCTCGCGTTTCGCTCGCTCCACCATATCTGAAGAAATATGGGGATTACTTGTAGTCTAAGTGAAGACTTAATTAGTAAATAAATAAAGAAGGAAATATCTGCTCACAATCTGTGCATTTCGCTCAGATGAGCCAAAAATTCTTATCATCTGCTTCTCACCGTGCATTATGTTACATGTAATCTTCAAGCAAACGGACACCAACAAGGTTGGGAGTTGTTGTGTCCATGTTGGTGATGGTGTGCAAATGGATACAAGAACTCCCAACAACCAACAACAACATGCAGCAGGGTGTACCAACCCATGTAACATCCAACAATATTGGGAGTTGTTGGCCAACAATGTTCAGCGTCCGTTTGCATGGGGCTTTATGGCTCAATTTTATCCTTGGTTGAAATTATATTTTCCTTTGTTTCAAACTCATTAACATACATCAACAAAATTGTATTTGTTTTAATTTAAGATATACATATAAGCAGCGGCTTTATTCAAGATTATTTAAAGCATAATAACTAAAAGAAGGAATAACCTACAGATGGTTTTCATAGTGAGGTCATGAAATTGTAAAGTCAAAATAGCAAGGTTTTACGAATTCTCATTTACACTAGATTGAAGATAGACAAAAAATAAATCTTTGTACAAGTTTCCATTCCCATGGCATGTTTCATTTTGAAAATACAGCAACTTGAACTTCCGAGTTTTCAGTTTTAACAGTGCGTGACACCAAAATAGGAATGCTGTCTTGTTTAAAAAAGTCTCTCCTCTTGATTTTCAGCAGTATAACCATTTGAAGTATTAGAAGACATGTTTATGTGCACGTATACTAGTTCTCGTGTGAAAAAAAAGAGCTTTTAAAGAAAAATTGAACTCCAGATGTTTTTGTTGATTTCCAGTTCCAAATGGTATTTAAAATGGCTTAAAAAGAGCTACAGAACTATCGCAAAAAACCTGCCAAACAACTTCAATCTACCTCTTTGTTCCACAAGAACTATTTAGCTGTCAGCCATATATGCTAAGTCTCAATTCATGATCTTTGCCAGTGCCGTTTAATAATTTATTGAGTAATCAAGTAGGGAATATTTAGCATGGGAAAAGGCTCCACAGTGGGGAAAAAGGCGAGCCAAGCAGTGTACTGGGGAGGGGGAAAGGGCGGTGGAGCCTCTGTTACCCTTACCCTTTTCCTGACTCCCACTCTGTTTGCTTCGCTCACCGATTTTGTTTTTTTTTTGTCTTATTACCCCAGTGTGGAGCCTGGTCCCAGGCTAGACAATTTAAACCAAATCCATCAACTGCAGTATCACTTTTCACAAGTATACAAACAGGAGCATAGTATGACATTTTGAAGGTATAAAGGGTAAGGAATTAAGGAATTGAACCTCTGGCCAAGCCTCCCCATATAGAACTTCTTTGAGGCTCCCCCCCTGCCCCTCCACCCCAGAATCCTGTCTCACCTGGAGTACGCATCTCTTCTCTTTTTGCACAATCATCTCTGAACCTATCAAAGCTAAAAAATGTAGGTAGCATTGATGGAAAAAATAAAGATTATCAATTTGCTCATAACGAATCCTTTCATTTTAACTAAATATACTACTGATTATCAGTCATATCGATTGACAACTCTGAAAGGTTATGTACAACTCCATCGACCTCCCTCTTTCTGGAACAGGGGCAAATAGAGGGACAATAGCGGCATGTACACACTTATGATAAGAAATCTGATGATGTCGCAAATGATACAAAGGACATGGATTCGCACAGGTGATTGTGGGTGGTTCAGTCTTGTATGGGTGCCTGCCACCCATTTAGAGTTGCACTCCTGATCCCAGTTGTTTGAAGACTGATTAGCACTAACCCAGGATTAAATTTTAATCCGGATTTCTTTTTCTTTTCTTCAAAAGCACTTTTGCAGATAGTTTTCTCTGTTAAGTAGACAAGAGGAATAAAACTGAATTTGCATCTTTTTTAAGCTTTCATATATAAAATCAAAGTTTGCACTTACCTTTAAGTTTAACTTTGAACAACCCAGCCAGGACATGTAGCCACAATTTTGTTGCACATTACAATCAATTTGGTATTTTGGACGGTGGGTCGAAGATGCAAGTTTGACTCCAGTGTATTATTTTATTTCAAATTCAATATTTTCTTGTCTAATGTTTACTTTCAGTTGACCAAAAATTTTAAGGAATGTGCACTGATGAGCTAAAGAGATTTTCTTGTTTTCAGATCATGACAGATTTGAAAGTTATTGGCGTGGGACTGGGTCATACGGGAACTAAATCCCTGCAGCAAGCACTTGTTCTCTTTCTGACAAAAGTTTATGGAGCTGATCCAAGAGAACAAGAAACTGATGTGAGGAAGTTGTATTTGGATTGGAATGAAGAGCTGAAAAGAAGTATCAAGAAAGAAAATTTGTTAGTTTTTAATGTTAAAGAGGGTTGGGGTCCTCTATGTAAGTTTTTAGGTGTTCCAGAGCCCAAGCAGCCATTTCCTAATTTGAATTCCAGGGAGTTTTTCCAAAAAAAATATGTTGAGGGGCTTTTGGCAAAAAAAGATTGAGCTTAATTTCTGGTTCACAAATAACAGTTTTCTACCAAATATCCATGAGCTGTAAGCTTGGGAATCATTGACATCATTATCATTTTATTTGATAAGGTAAGTTATATAATGTAAGGCAACTTGAACCCTGATGATCAATTTGACAGTCCAGACCCAGGAGAGGGGATACTCCCTTATCTGGGCTAAACAGGTGTGTGTGATTAACATGGTATGGTCTTCAGGGTCTTGTGTCTTGTGTCTACAGGTTATGCAATTTCATTGTTTAGAGTGTCTAGTTGTCCTCAGGACCAAAAGCCCTCGACAAATGAGTGGTCTACAAAAAATAGCAACAATTTGTTTCCAAAAAATTATTTCCATGGTGTTAGTTTAAAATATAACTTAATTCTGTAAGCAAAAAGAAATCCAAGGTCATGAAATAAGCTCTCTTGTTTTTAACAGGGCCAGAAATTGAATGATTTTTGTTTTAAACAGGGTCAAGGTTTGAAGGCCTCAGCAGCTCACCTCTACCCTAACTAGTTAAGTGCCCCTCACCTCCTCCCCCTTCTGGGAATCCAGACCCATGGATATGCTACTGTTATTATATTCCAAAAACTTGCATAACTAATGAAATTGGATTAGAAAAATAAACAAATAGAACTGGCACAACTTGTAAAAGAAGAAAAAGAAAAGAGAGAAAAAAGCCTTTAGAAGGCATGAAGATGTATAGGTAAAGACGCACACGTGCCAAAGGCCCAAACGGCCGGAGTTTATCCCGGTTTCCTTAGCATGAGGCATGCCTAAGGAGTATCGCTACTCCCCCCTAGCCGGGATGCTAGTCCGTTACAGGGTTAGCCCCCAGCAGTATGTCGCCGGTACCCATCTATAGAGACAAAGTGGAGTAAAGGTTCTTGTCTAAGGAAAAAACACGACGGGCGAGGCTTGAACCCCGGACCTCCAGATCTAAAGTTCGAGGTGTCAGCCGCTCGGCCACGCACGCCTCCGCATAAAAGTGTATAAGTGAGGCTAATTCCTTTACATTGGAAAAAAATGGCTTGTAAAACACATTATTTTTATAATACAAATTTATATGTAGATCATTGCAGATATATAAGGCAGTTTAAGTGTGGGAAAGTGTCCCATCACACTTGAAGTCCCTTACTGAACCTGCTTTTAGAAAGCAATATAAAACATTTCTTCTTTCCAATCAGTAACAATAGATGTCACAGTGTGCCCTCTGTTTATTGTGCGTGGGCGCGTGAATGAGGGCCCAGGTCTAGCTATGCTTCAGTGAGTGTAATATTTACGGTAGATTATGCTAATAATGTGCTCTTTAATCTTAATGAATACAAATCTTGGCTTTTTCTGATTATATTTCAAACACGACAGTGACCGTCTCGAAAGCCTCGGCTCCTTTGGCCACTGTGCACGTCCTCTCTAGATTTTCCATTTATTAATAATTGAATATTTGAATAGTACATTTTTGTAAGAAAATTTTATATTCTTTATATGTAAGATTAATTCATCTGAACAGTGCAAAATAAAGTTGAAGTTGAAGTTGAAAGAAAAATTAAAACTGCAACACTTAATAGCCAAATTTTATATATTCTGTTTGTGACGCACGCGATTTTCTGTCCCTAAAAAACATTGCTACTGGTGTTCCCTTTAAGATGATGTTACACGAGACGATTTTTAGCGCAACACAGGGTTACAACATTGTTACGATATTGTTCCGAACAGTTACAACATTGTTCCAACATTGCAACGCTGCTTTGCGCTAAAAATGGTCGTTGCGAATCGTCCCGTGTAACATCACCTTTAGTTTCAGTCGATTCTGTTCCCCTTTAGCCAAACGGGAGACGCCCACGGTCACCTTATACGTCCTTATGTTCTCAAGCTTCTCTTACGCTCCTCTCGCTTGGCTAAAACGGAAATTAAACGACCGTTGAGCAGGCGCTGGGCTAGAGTAAGCTTAAGCCAGCATAATTGCTGCTGACAGACCAGTTTTCAGCCGTCAGAATAGGGCATTTTCGAGCAAATCGGTAAAAATGCATTTGAACCTCTCCACCTCGGGAACAGAATAAAATGGCCTTAAATCGTAACAAGCCATTTGGTCTGATTTGGATTGCCTTCTCGGGTACTTGCATCGGCAAGATTGATGTAGTAGAGGCTGTTCTTTCACATTCAAAATTCACCATGAAATCCAAAAAAGAAAGCCCAAAGCCCGTGAATCGAAGCCCAAGAAGAGAAGAATCTTAATAAGGGATGATTCCGATTCTGATCAGTGAACTGGAAATAATCCAAGTTCTTTCTTTTTGAACAAAGACTTTTTGTTAGCATGGCAGGTCAATTATTCGGATCAAAACAGCAATAACAGAGGAAGACCTGTTCAATGTAAGAAGAAATTCTGATAAGTCATCAAAGTGTTTTGGTAGACTACGGACATAAATATGAAGTGAGGAGAATGTATCAGTAGGAATGGCAATTTATTAAATTCCGTAGAGGTACAATAAGGGCCGGTTTGAAAGTAATTGTGAATTTGCTGTGAAAAAGTAAGTGCCTGGATCAAGGTTGGAATTCATTAACAAATGAGACTTCTTAGGGTCAACAAAAAAAGGATTAAATTTCTTCTGTTTAAGTAGTTCAGCATCAAATTACCTTGCAAACTGAAATCATACCATCCCAAGAAGAAATCAATATCATTGTCAAATAACATATATGACACCGCAACGCACACTGAGACGGAAAACTACTTATCGAGAAGAAGATTATTTTCACGAAAAGTGAAAGTCGTTGCAAAAAAAAAAGAAATAAATCGTACACGCCATCAGGCAGCTTTGATTAAATCTTACAGAACGAATGCAAGCCACTCAGTGTAATTGGAGAATTGTTAAGGACTGGAAGAATTCGTTATTTATTTTTTTTATTTTGTGCTACTTTTTAGACAGGGATACCTTCAATTCTTTCATTCCATATTTGGGCAAAAATATTTCCTTCCCTGTGATTGGACGGCTGAAAAGCCCAGCATGGTTCCTGGGGTGCTTTCCATTATACTGAACCCAGTCTTGGGGGAGTGATTGATTTGGAAACACCACCCTACAAACGATTTTTACGTCTGTGGGACACATACCGTAAACGATCTAATAAATGCCCACTCTCAAATAAACGTCTCTTATCTAATAAACGCCCCCCTTACGCTGTTAAGTTAGTATTAAACGCCCCTTTCTAATAAACGACGTCCCCTGTCTAATAAACGCCCCCCTTAAAAATTGCCCCCAAATACTAGGAAATGGCAAAATAGAAATCAATCAATTTATTAATTTTACTTGCTTGATTAACATCAGTTTTTGTGCATTATGTCATGTTCAATTTCTAAATAAGCCGTCAGGCCCGCAGTCGAGATTCTGTTAACACAAAAACATTTTTAGCTGAAAGCATACTGTACAGGGGCGGATCTAGGGGGAGGGTGCAGAGGTGCGCACCCCCCCCGAGATGACCTGCGGTTTTCTAATACAACTGGTATTCTGCAAAAAAAAAAACTATGTGGTTTATTGGTGTTGAAGTAGAGCAAGAGACGAGTGCACCCCCTCCTAAAAAATGTCCTGGATCCGCCCCTGCTGTATACAGTTATGTTGAGTTCGTTAAAATAGGTTACGAGAATAAACGCCTCTCCCTTTTAAACGCCTCCCATCTATTAAACGCCCCCTCTTGGACCCCTAAAATTAAATAAACGCCCCGGGCGTTTATTAGATCATTTACGGTAACCATGCTAATTAACCGACTAAACGTTTTTTTTTTTTTTTGCTGCTTACTTACTAACTAGTGTTTTTTGAGCTGTTTACCGACCAATAATATACACGAAAAAAATTACTCAATTCTGATTGGCTGAGAAAGGAGTGCAGTTCCTCTGTAACACGAGTACAAACTGTGTAACACGAGTGCAAACTTGTAACACGAGTGCAAACTACAAATGGTCTCTGATTGGCTGAAAACACAAAAGAAACGACCAAGAACCAATCAGATTAGAGCTGTTTTAACAACAAATTTAAGAAAAAATGGCTACGGTTCTCAGCAAACCGTGACGATAATTTGTAAGCAAAACAACAGAAGAAAAGTTAAAAAAATATTCCAAAAACCTGAACACAGTAAAAAGTACGTCTTTCTGGATAAATATATCGAAAATTCGGTGCTAAGAGAAAAATACAGTCAACAAAATCGAGGAAAATGAGCCAGAGAAACTAAATTTGTAAGCTACTTATAATAACACAGGGAGCCCAGAATCACAACAGCCTACTGGAAGCCAAATTATAAGGATTTGTATGGAAATTTATCTTAAGATCGATAAAACGGTTAAAATGTAGAAAAACAGCTATTAAAGTATGCATATGTCATAAAAGGTTGTGTCCTCGTTGTTTTCTTACTGTTTCCTGCCCTATAAACGCCATTTTAGCAAGTTTTAATGTTTTGGTTTCTCACCAAATACAAGTGTATTTAGGGCAGGAAACAGTACGAAAACAACAAAGACACAACTTTTGATGACGTATGTATACTTTAATAGCTGTTTTTGTACATTTTAACCGTTTTATCGATCTTAAGATAAATTTCCATGCAAATCCTTATAAATTGGTTTTCAGTAGGCTGTTGTGATTCTGGGCTCCCTGTGTTATTATAAGTAGCTTAGAAATTTAGTTTCTCTGGCTCATTTTCCTCGATTTTGTTGACTGTATTTTTCTCTTAGCACCGAATTTTCAATACATTTAGCCAGAAAGACGTACTTTTTACTGTGTTCAGGTTTTTGGAATATTTTTTTAACTTTTCTATTGTTGTTTTGATTACAAAATATCGTTGTTTGCTGAGAACCGTGGCCATTTTTTCTTAAATTTGTCGTTAAATCAGCTTTAATCTGATTGGTTCTTGGTCGTTTCTTTTGTGTTTTCAGCCAATTAGAGACCATTTGTAATTTGCAGTCGTGTTACAAGTTTGCACTCGTGTTACACAGTTTGCACTCGTGTTACAGAGGAACTGCACTCCTTTCTCAGCCAATCAGAATTGAGTAATTTTTTCGTGTATGTATTAGTCAGTAAACAGCCTCAAAAAACACTAGTTAGTCAGTAAGCAGCAAAAAAATGGGTAGGGTGGTGTTTCCAAATCAATCACTCCCCCAAGACTCGGTTCAGTATAATGGAACTCGGCATCCCAGGAACCATGCTGGGTTTTTCAGCCGTCCAATCACAGGGAAGGAAATGTTTTTGCCCAGATATGGAATTAGAGAATTGAAGGCATCCCTGTCTGAAAAATAGCACAAAGTCAAAAAAGTAAATAACGAATTCTTCCAGTCCTTAACAATTCTCCAATTACACTGAGCGGCTTGCATTCGTTCTGTAAGATTTAATCAGCGGACGAAAACATTTACATTCACAAGTAGTGGAGCCGACGAGTGTGTTTTTACTGTATTGGCGCGCGCTATAAAGCTGCGTTATGGCGAGTGCGATTTATTTCTTTTTTTTTTTTTGCAAAGGCCTTCACTTTTCGTAAAAATAATCTTCTTCTTGATAAGTAGTTTTCCGTCTCAGTATGCGTTGCGGTGTCATATATGTTATTCACCGGCCAGTATCACGACTGGTACTGTCCATCATGTCTTGCCAGTATTTTTCCATTTAATCATTTTGACAATGATATTGATTTCTTCTTTGCATTGTATGATTTCAGTTTGCAGGGTAATTTGATGCTGAACTACTTAAACAGAAGAAATTTAATCCCTTTTTTGTTGACCCTGAGAAGTCTCATTTGTTAATGAATTCCAACCTTGATCCAGGCACTAACTTTTTCGCAGCAAATTCACAATTACTTTCAAACCGGCCTTTATCTTACCTCTAGGAATTCAATTAATAAATTGCCATCACTTCCTTATGATACATTCTCCTCACTTTATATTAATGTCCGTAGTCTACCAAAACACTTTGATGAACTGTGAAAGGTTTGAACCCAGGAGTCATTTCAGAAGTAGGTCGAGTTTGATCGTCCGGGTGAATGTAAGTCCTGAATAGGACTGATGTTGTTGACAGTGACTGACGTTTCGACAACCTGTGCGGTAGTCATCTTCAGAGTCAAAGTGAGTTGTATCACGTCAGTTGATGGTATTATACTCTGGTTATTGATCTGATTGGTCAATTACGTCGCGATGTTATTGGTCGTCTGTCAGTTAAGCCGTGATGTTATTGGCTATGAAGACTCGTGATCAGTAATTGGTGCGTTTCGATCCGTCTATTGTCACAGTCAAACATTCGTCTATTGTTAGTTAATTTGTCATTAACATTTAACTTTATCTGATTTACCACAAAATACAAATAACGATAAAACAAGACGGTTACACAAACGCAAATGAAAGTGGCGAGGAAGCCCAAAAAGAAACCATGAGGCTTATAGACATTGGGCTCCCACAGAGTAAAAATAAAGTTAACAGTAACAGTAAAGCCAGGATCGAAAGTAAAATACAATGAAGGTAAGTATAAATTAACTAATTACATAGACTGAGTTGACAAAATATAAGGTATGGTACATGTAGCAATAAGTATAAAAATAATATCAGACGTGAAGAAATTTAACTATTTACTACAAGATCTATAACTAATAATTCATATATATATATTTTTTTTCTGTTTCGTTTTGAATAAGTGGAGAGAATTAGATTCTTTAATATCATTTTCTATAGAGTTATAATAAGTAGGTTCTTGGAAACTGACAGAAAATTTACGAAGGTTTGTTCTACAAAAAGGAAGGTGAAAATCGTTCGCGTGTCTAGTGGCATAGCTATGGACTTGTTTGTTTAAAGAAAAATAATTGTTGAACTTTGAAGGCAAAAGAGAATGGTTAAGAGAAAACATAAGTTTACCCAATTCTAGTTGTCCAATATCGGAAAGTTTTAGTAGCTCTAATTCTTTGAAAATAGGGTCTGAATGAGAATCGAAAGTTGATTTAGACATAATTCTGATACCTCGCTTTTGCAAGGAGACAAGGCGGCGAAGATTGGTCTTGTACGTAGATCCCCAGACAATAATACAATAATGAAGATAAGGATAAACTAAACAGTAATAAAGAGTTTTTAGACAGGGTTTAGGTAGAAAAAATCTTGCTCTATTAATGACACCTATTGATTTCGAGATTTTACGAGCTACTTGAAAAATGTGCGGTTTCCAAGACAGATGTTCATCAATATACAAGGACTACACCGAGGAAGACCGTTTCCTTAATCTGTTCGATTCTCTGTTCATTTATGCATATTTGCATTGGAAAATGATACCTCATTCTGTCGTAGTCAGTTTTGCTTGATCTCATCATCACTTTGAGGACTTATCAGAATTTCTTCTTTCATTGAACAGGTCTTCCTCTTAGTGTTATTGCTGTTTTAATCTGCATAATTGACCTGTCATAAGTATCAATTTGCTATCACTTGGTAAGCTCTAGACTTTCTCAAAGTCGTTCGCTTGGTTTTCTGGTCTGGTGTGGTAGGATTTCGCTCGCTCGCGCTTCGCGCTCGCTCGCTCGCGCTCCGCGCTCGTACGATCGCGCTTCGCGCTCACAGTCGCGCTACGCGCTCAAAAGCTCGACTTCTGAGCAAGTCTAGGTAAGCTCCTATTATTTGGAATGATATTCCGTTAACTGTGCGCAATAGCCTTACAACAGTAACTTAAAAAAAATCAAGACTGCATTTCTTAAGTATTTGAATTAGCCTATGCAAAATATTGTTGAAGGGCTAGAGGACTTATATACCTTAATTTTATAGTTCAATCAAGTCTCTTATCACCAATTTTGTATACCTTTTGGGACTATACTAGGTGTGTTTGTATTTGTATGATCTAAAGGAATATATTATCGAGTGTTTGTAAATTTAGTAGTCATAGTTAGTTTTAAGCATTGTATTTCAGGCTATAGAATTTATTATATATCCCTTAATTTTATAGTTTAATCAAGTCTCTTGTCACCAGTTTTGTATTATATTAACTATCTTGTGGGACTACTCTAGGTGTACTATGGTTTATATTTCAGTTGTACGTTCTCTTCAACTGACTCTCTTTCCTTTCTTTTGATTGGTATTGTAATTATTTTAGTTAAAGCCTTCTTTTATTCATGTAAATCCTTCACGTTTTCTGCTGACCTTAGGCCATTTAAGCCAAAGGCTGTGGTTGTTCTCATGAATTTTTGATATGTAATAAAAGTAAAAAGTCAAAGAAGTAAAAAGGTCGGTCCGTAATGAGAGAAACTGTGCCCTGACCGATGGCTACGCATCGAGCAACTCACGCATTTTTCGTGCTCTCGGTAAACTTTCAGCGTGCTTCATATCTCGACATATACGCACGCTGACTCGTGAACCAATTGTTAAATTAAAAGCTATTTTGAGCAGAAAACAAACTCAAGCTGAAGTAAACCAAAGTTACAAAGTCTTTGTTCAAAAAGAAAGACGTTGGATTATTTCCAGTTCACTGATCAGAATCGGAATCATCGCACATGATTTTTCTCTTGTTGGGCTTCGATTCACGGGCTTTGGGATTTCTTTTTTGGATTTCATAGTGAATGTTGAATGTCAAAGAACAGCCTCTACTACATCAATCTTGTCGATGCAAGTACCCGAGAACGCAATCCAAATGGCGTGTTAGGATTTACGGCTACTTTATTCTGTCCCCGACGTGGAGAGGTTCAAATGCATTTTCACCGATTTGCTCGACGGCTGAAAACTAGTCTGTCAAGCGAGAGAAGCGTGAGAGAAGCTTGAGCGCATAATTACGTATAAGGTGACCGTGGGCGTCTCCCGTTTGGCTAAAGGGGAACAGAATCGATTGAAACTAAAGGTGATGTTACACGGAACGATTCGCAACGACCATTTTTAGCGCAAAGCAGCGTTGCAATGTTGGAACCATGTTGTAACTGTTCGGAACAATATCGTAACAATGTTGTAACCCTGTGTTGCGCTAAAAATCGTCTCGTGTAACATCACCTTAAAGGGACGCTTGCTTCCGGCTAGGACGCCAGTAGCCATGTTTTTCAGGGACAGAAAATCGCGCGCGTCACAAACAGAATATATATAATTTGGTTATTAAGTGTTGTAGTTTTAATTTTTCTTTCAACTTCTTCTTTTGCACTATTCAGATGAATTAATCTTACATATAAAGAATATAAAATTTTCTTACAAAAATGTACTATTCAAATATTCAATTATTAATAAATGGAAAATCTAGAGAGAATGTGCACAGTGGCCAAGGAGCCGAGGCTTTCGAGACGGCCACTGCCGTGTTTGAAATATAATCAGAAAAAGCCAAGATTTATATTCATTAAGATTAACGAGCAAATTATTAGCATAATCTACAGTAAATATTATACTCACTGAAGCTTAGCTTGACGTGGGCACTCATTCACGCGCCCACGCACAATAAACAGAGGGCATACTGTGACATCTACTATTACTGATTGGAAAGAAGAAATGTTCTATATTGCTTTCTAAAAGCAGGTTCAGTAAGGGGCTTTAAGTGTGATGGGGCACTTTCCCACACTTGAACTGCCTTATATGTGCAATGATCTACATATAAATTTGTGTTATAAAAATAATGTGTTCTACGATCCATTTTCTTTCAGTGTAAAGGAATTATCCTCACTTATACACCTTCATGCGGAGGTGTGTGTGACCGAGCGGTTGACAACTCGAACTCCGGATCTGGAGTTCCGGGGTTCAAGCCTTGCTTGTCTTTTTTTTTGATAAGACAAGAAACTTTACTCCATTTTGTCTCTCTTCACCCAGGTGTATAAATGGGTACCGGCGACATACTGCTAGGGGGGTAAACCTGCAACGGACTAGCATCCCGTCCAGGGGGGAGTAGCAATACTCCTAGGCATGCGTCATGCTAAGGAAACCGGGATAAGCTCCGACCGTTCGAGCCTTTGGCACGTGTGCGCCTCTACCTATACATCTTCTTGCCTTCTAAAGGCTTTTTTCTCTTTTCTTTTTCTTCTTTTACAAGTTGTGCCAGTTATATTTGTTTATTTTTCTAATTCAATTTCACTATTTATGCAAGTTTTTGGAATATAATAACAGTAGCATATCCATGGGTTTGGATTCCCAGAAGGGGAAGGGGTTGGGGGGCACTTAACTAGTTAGGGCAGAGGTGTGCTGCTGAGGCCTTCACTCCTTGACCCTGTTTAAAACAAAAATCATTTAATTTCTGGCCCTGTTAAAAACAAGAGAGCTTATTTCATGACCTTGGATTTCTTTTTGCTTACAGAATTAAGTTATATTTTAAACTAACACCATGGACATAATTTTTTGGAAACAAATTGTGGGTAACACACTTGTAGACCACTCATTTGTTAAAGGCTTTTGGTCCTGAGGACAACTAAACACTCTAAACAGTGAAATTGCATAACCTGTTTAAGACACAAGACCCCGAAAACCATACCATGTTAACCCTTTAAGTTCCAATAGTGACCAAGATCAGTTTTCTCCTAACAATATCCATACACTGTCAACAGATAAGTTATGAGAATTAATAAAGTGATCACCCAAGAAAAAATGCCTTGATCTTTTATCAAATTCTCTCAACTCATTCTTTAAGGAAATATATGGAGATCAGTTTGGAGAACTTGTATGTGGACACATACCTGTTTAGCCCAAATAAGGAACTACCCCCTCCCCTGGGTCTGGACTGTCAAACTGATCACCAGGGTTTAATTATATAACTTACCTTATCAAATAAAAATTAATGATAATGATGTCAATGATTCCCAAGCTTACAGATCATGGATGTTTGGTAGAAAACTGTTATTTGTGACCCAGAAATTAAGCTCAATCTTTTTTTGCCAAAAGCACCTCAGCATATTTTTTTTGGAAAGACTCCTTGGAATTCAAATTAGGAAATGGCTGCTCGGGCTCTGGAACACCTAAAAACTTACATAGAGGACCCCAACCCTCTTTAACATTAAAAACTAACAAATTTTCTTTCTTGATACTTCTTTTCAGCTCTTCATTCCAATCCAAATACAACTTCCTCAGATCAGTTTCTTGTTCTCTTGGATCAGCACCATGAACTTTTGTCAGAAAAGCATAAAAGGATTTTCTAAATTCCTGCCGAGCAGAATTGTCATCAAATTTGAACCTAAAAAGAGTTGCTCGAACAGATTCAACCCACTTCTCAGGATTATCTCGCACAGTAAGAATCACTTTAGCATTGGGATTCCACCGAAGGAACTCTTTATAAAATAAACATCCAGGGTAATCCGTAGTAGCCACATAACCCTTGAAGGCTTCTTTCAGTTTTTCACTCTTGTCCTCACTGCTGCTGAATATCTCTTTCCACATTGGCCACAAATGCTCTTTATCTGGGAGTACTTCTGTCATATGATGGCAGGGTCCAAATCCTAAGAGAACAAGTGCTTGCTTTAGGGATTTAGTTCCCGTACGACCCAGTCCCGCGCCAATAACTTTCAAATCTGTCATGATCTGAAAACAAGAAAATCTCTTTAGCTCATCAGTGCACATTCCTTAAAATTTTTGGTCAACTGAAAGTAAATATTAGACAGGAAAATATTGAATTTGGAATAAAATAATACACTGGAGTCAAACTTGCATCTTCGACCCACAATCCAACCCCAAATTGACTGTAATGTGCAACACAATTGTGGCTACATGTCCTGGCTGGGTTGTTCAAAGTTAAGGTAAGTGCAAACTTTGATTTTATATATGAAAGCTTAAAGAAGATGCAAATTCAGTTTTATTCCTCTTGTCTACTTAATAGAGAAAACTATCCGCAAAAGTGCTTTTGAAGAAAAGAAAAAGAAATCCGGATTAAAATTTAACCCTGGGTTAGCGCTAATCAGTCTTCAAACAACTGGGATCAGGAGTGCAACTCTAAACGGGTGGCAGGGAGCCATACAAGACTGAACCACCCACAATCCACATCCTTTGTATCATTTGCGACATCATCAGATTTCTTATCATAAGTGTGTACATGCCGCTATTGTCCCTCTATTTGCCCCTGTTCCAGAAAGAGGGAGGTCGATGGAGTTGCACATAACCTTTCAGAGTTGTCAATCGATATGACTGATAATCAGTTGTATATTCAATTAAAATGAAAGGATTCGTTATGAGCAAATTGATAATCTTTATTTTTTCCATCAATGCTTAACCTACACTTTTTAGCTTTGATAGGTGCAGAGATGATTGTGCAAAAAGAGAGAAGAGATGCATACTCCAGGTGAGATAGGATTCTGGGGTGGAGGGGCAGGGGGGGAGCATCAAAGAAGTTCTATATGGGGAGGCTTGACCAGAGGTCCAATTCCTTAATTCCTTACCCTTTACACCTTCCAAATCTCATACTATGCCCCTGTTTATATATTTGTGAAAAGTGATACTGTAGTTGATGGATTTGGTTTAAATTGTCTAGCCTGGGACCAGGCTCCACAGTGGGGTAAAAAGACAAAAAAGAAAAAAAAATTGGTGAGCAAAGCAAACTGAGTGGGAGTCAGGAAAAGGGTAAGGGTAACAGAAGCTCCACCACCCTTTCCCCCTCCCCAGTCCACTGCTCGGCTCGCTTAGCTCACCGAATTTTTTTTGTTTCACCCAGTTTTTTGCCTTTTTCGCCATTGCGGAGCCTTTTCCCAGACTAAATATTGTCTATTTGATTACTCAATAAATTAAACGGCGCTGGCAAAGATCATGAATTGAGATTTAGCATATATGGCTGACAGCTAAATAGTTCTTGCGGAACAAAGAGGTAGATCGAGGTTGTTTTACAGGTTTTTTGCGATAGTTCTGTACTAGCTCTTTTTACGCCATTTTAAATACCATTTTAGCTTGCTATAGATTCACTGTCAAACAACAAAAAAATAAATCGGAAACCGTCCAGTGTAAGAAGCCAAGAAAATGAAATGTTATAAAAGACTTATTTTTAAACAATTTGTCCAAGTCTCAGGTCTTTGTGGCCCACAGGTTCTGAGTTATTTGCCGAAATGTCTCATGCACCTTTGTAGAGCTTTGTATGGAGATGCCATATTGGTGCACCGTTTTGGTGCACCAATATGGCCGCCGGAAATCAACAAAAACATCTGGAGTTCACTTTTTCTTTAAAAGCTCTTTCTTTTCACTCGAGAACTAACATATGTGCCCATAAACATGTCCTCTAATACTTCAAATGGTTATACTGCGGAAAATCAAGAGGAGAGACCTTTTTTATACGAGACAGCATTCCTATTTTGGTGTCACGCACTGTTAAAACTCGGAAGTTCAAGTTGCTGTATTTTCAAAATGAATTAACATGCTACGGGAATGGAAACTTGTATAAAGATTTATTTTTTGTCTATCTTCAACCTAGTGTAAACAAGAATTTGTAAAACCTCGCTATTTTGACTTTACAATTTGATGACGTCACTATGAAAACCATCTATAGGTTATTCCTTCTTTTAGTTATTATGCTTTAAATAATCTTGAATAAAGTGGCTGCTTATATATATATATATATATATCTTAAATTAAAACAAATACAACTTTGGTGATGTATGTTAATGAGTTTGAAACAAAGGAAAATATAATTGAAAACCAACAATAAAATTGAACCATAAAGCCCCATGCAAACGGATGCTGAACAATGAACATTGTTGGCCAACAACTCCCGACATCGTTGGATGTTACATGTTGTGTGCATTGGTACACCCTGCTGCATGTTTTTGTCTTTTGTTAGGAGTTGTTGTATTCATTTGCACACCATCACCAACATGGACACAACAACTCCCAACCTTGTTGGTGTCTGTTTGCTTGAAGATTACATGTACCATATATCCAATAGATGCACGGTGAGAAGCAGATGATAAGAATTTTTAGCTCATCTGAGCGAAATGCACGGATTGTGAGCAGACATTTCTTTCTTTGTTTATTTACTAATTAAGTCTTCACTAAGACTACAAGTACAGTCGACTCCCGATAACTGGAACCCTCGCTAACTCGAACCTCGCACTAACTCGAACCAAAATCGATTTCCCCTGGATTTCCGTCATACATTCACTGTAATTTTACCCTCGGTAACTCGAACCGTCGATAACTCGAACTCCCGCTAACTCAAACCAATTTTCGTTTCCCCTCAGGTCATTTTCTATATAATTTTACCCTCGATAACTCGAACCATGTTTTGAGCCCTTAAAAAGTCCAGAAAAAGCCGTATACTGGCGTCCGAAACGTTGAGTTTTGGATTTCCTATTGACGTGTTGTAGGAGTATAGTTTACTAGTGGAAGCTGATGTTCATTGCCACAGGCTAACGTGAAGCAGCTTTTCTTTCAAAATAGTAAAACGCATGCTCTATTTAGACTATCTTTTGTTACGTTACGTTCTGATTTATAATCTAGAAGTATCTTTTAATTTTCACTTGACATTTCTACAATTAAATGTGACTAAAATGTTCACTGTGAAGTAAAAACTGTTTTTTACCTTACTCTCGGCTATTTCCTTCGAACTCCCGATAACTAGAACCTTTTTTCGATTTCCCTTGAAGGTTCGAGTTATCGGGAGTCGACTGTAGTCCCCATTTTACTTCAGGTATAGTAGAGCGAGCGAAACGCGAGCGCGCGTGAAAATCACCTCACGCGAGAAAGGTGAGACGCAGATCCCTGAGGAAAAACTGAAGACTACTAAAACTACTAGTAGTCTAGTCTTCACTCTTAACAGACTGCTTTAAAAAATTACAATAATGAAAAAACCATAACATAAAATTGCTAATCAATATGTATAAAGTCAGATTACCCAGCGATTGCCCAAATGAACATGGCCAAGTAGATGCTATAATTTCTGGTGGGAGATTGTTCCACTGTGCAATTGTAGGGTAAAAAGAGTTCTTTTAATAATCACATGTACAACGTAGATATACTCAGGACACAGGGAAAGCCCAACAGAAGTAGTCAAAGTGTATAAATCGAACCGGCCGCGCGGGGCGACACAGCAAGCTGGTATTCAAAATGATCATTCACTCTGTTTGTATCAGGCCTCAGATTAAATACCAAGAGAACTGAAAGATATTAAACAAAATGTAATACTACAAAACAACTCACCAGTTTCAAATGATTCTCAAGTGTCTTTGAGTCAGCTATTGTGCGAACACTGCAAACGAGGAAAATAACAGCAAACATACGCCAACTGGAGTCGGAGTGACGCAATGCTCCCTCACCCCCATTGCGTGACCTAGGCATTGCAAGCAACGCGAACTCTGGGAACGAGATTGCGCGAACTGCCGAAATACCAGGGAAATCCGCCTGGGTTGGAAAATTTGGTTTAGCTTCTTATAGGTGTCCAAACATTCCGGAATTTGAAGATTGGTTTTGTACCGCACACATATGCCATCCAGACAGTTTGCACGAATTTTGCGGATCATTTTACGTTTCTGTGAAACTGCCCACCTACCCCCTCTAAACCAGAATTAACACTTAGTTCTTACTTCGGGCAAAATTTTGGCTTAGGGAAGGGGTAGGTGGGCAGTTTCCCAGAAACGTAAATGATCCAGTTTTGCCTCAAACATGTTTTCTTTGTTGCTTTGCCGTTCGTTAATAGTGCTCGCTTTGCGCTCAAGCAACAATTACGCAATACTCATTTTGTTTAGGGAAAAGCCCTCGGGACGCGGTTGTCACGCAATATTCCCCAAGGCCAAAAATAAATTTGTACAGGTTGCAAGACAAAAAAGAAATTACTTTTAACAGTGCTTTGCATAGCAAAAGACTAAAGAAGTTATGTCTGATTCGTCACTTTATTGTACTAGTTGCTGTCGGTTTTGCTACCCAAGGGGCCGTCGACATCACAACCTCGTTCCCAGGGATGCGCAACCACTGTTACTCCTTTCTAGAACGTTCTATGAAAGGAGTAACAGTGGTTACGCAATGAAGCCAAAAAAAAAAACAAACAGTAAAACGACAAACAGACACCAAAATGCAGTGGAATACATTGCAGGTAAGTCTTTTTTATTCATTTCATTTAAGAAAAAGTAAGGTTTAGAGTTATTTAGCGTTCGCAGATCTCAGCAATATATTTCTCATACAAAGTCTCATATTTTAAACGGCCGCCTGTAACGCGACACTGGCGCGTCACCTATGGTATGTAAAATACATTACACCCTTCCCTCGCAATGTGAGTTTGGGCCGCCTGTGTCGACATATTCACTTTTCCACCGCTTAGCGTCAACTGGACGTTTAGGTCAGACCCCCTTCCCACTCCTCCTTAACGTTCACTTGAAATTTTGCTGCTCCAAAAGTCACTGCATTCCAGGACGAATACTGACATGCACTTTCGTGAAGATATCAACGGTATCAACCAATTCTCTGCTTATCAAACGTGGTAGTAACTTCTTTATATTTTTAAAATATAGAATGTTTTTAAACGGATAAACCAGTGAGCAGTACTTTCAAACTTCTTGAGTTGTAAAAACTGTTTTGCGGCATTTTTAAATTTAGAGGTCGAAGAGGAG